ATTTCACGATTAGGAGAAACAATTTGAGGATTTCCATTTAGGAAAGAAGGATTCATACATTTAATAAGATATGTTTGTGTTTAAATTCAATAAAATTAGAGAAAGGCTCTGACGGAGGATTCGAGTAAAGTTCATAGAAGGAAGAAAAAGTGAACTTGCAATAGAAAATGTTTTATTACTTAGATATTGAAAGATTAGGAAGTTTTGTTTTGTTTTGTTTTGTTTTTTTTAATTTTATGAAGCAAAAGCGAACGTTTAGAAATGACACTTTAACTAGGTTGTTTATTATTATTAAATTAAAATTTAAAATGATACTACTCTTATGTAAAAAAGAAACTTTTAAATCATCAAAATCTAAACAATAAATATATATATTTTTTGTTAGAAGGATCTATATATATTTTTCATGTAAATCCTTTTATACGTTACATTTTGTTGGTTGATACATAATAAATATTAAATAATATGTTCTTTTCTCTTTTTCAATGCATATATATTCATTAGAGAGAGAGAGAGAGAGAGAGAGAATTGGAGTTTAAGAATGAAATAGATAAAATTTATGAGGAAAAATAATATCTACAATTTTTATCAAAAGAGCTATGGTTGCCGAGTGATGACAATAAGCACTGATATCAATGATAATAATTCAATTTCAAGAAGATGTAAAAAATAAATACTTTATTTTTAATTGAAACTAAAACTAAAAATATTTTAAAATTAAAATTTAATTTAGTTATATGTTAAAAGAATGTATTTTATCTTAAACTTTATATTTGAAAGTAAAAGAAATAGAATCGCCCAAGCAAACCTCAGTTTTGATTTAGTTTTAATATTTATTTATTTTTTTGTCTATATACTTCATAAACTTTGTCGTTTTAGTGTTTCCTTATTATCATTTGAGTGTCATTTTTAAATTTAATACTGTCTAAATTATTAAGCTAGAGTGTTAACACAGTGCCCATATAACTAATTAGAATTCCATGTGAATTCTGTGCTTAATTTATAATTAAATTAAAAATCAATAATATTGGAGTCAAAAATTGAAAGCAAAAAATTACTAAATTTTTGTAGTACTTATATGAGACAGAAATTTGCTGCTGACTCTGTGTCTAAATCTTCAGCAAGTGAGTCACGTGTACAAAATTCGCAATTTCTTATTAAATCCTCTTGGTCGTGCGTAACATGATTAAAAACAACAACAACGGAGCCACTGGTTCTGAACTTCATCCGTTGAACAAATCAACTAATCCTTTTCCATTCTAAACTTTGTATATTGTTAATTTAGGGAAAATTAAAACTATGTTAAAGATTTTCAAAATTATTAAAAAGATATACATAATTAATTCAGAAAAACTAAATTTAAATCTGAAAGAAGAAAAATAAAATAGACTAAAGACAAGTATGACTCATTTATCAAAATAATATATTTTTAAAAATTATTTATCAAAATAATGTTGCTCTGGAACATTTTCGAAGGAAAAAACAGGCAGCTAAAATTTAAAAAGAAAAAAATTATTGTAAAAAATTTTAATTACTCATTTGAAAAATATAAATAATTGATGTTATGGAGGAAAAACACTTAAATGTAAAAATTTAGTAATTATTTGAATAATTTTTATTTTTCTTTTAAATTTATATAAATTAATGATATAGTTCAACTTGATTGAACTTTTCTAGAAATACTTGTAAAAAATTAATAAAAAATTCTTATAAATTATAATAGCATAATTTAATTTAATTTATAAAAATATTTTATTTACATGATTATATATATATATATATATTATAAATATTTATAGAAAAATTTATCTAAACTAAACGATATTACGTGTTGTTGTTCTATTTTATTAGTTATTGATTTAAATTTTTAAATAAGAAGCTTAATTAACCTAAACAATTACAAAATACAATTACAAGTACTAATATTATACATAATTAAAGAACAAAATTTTAAAATATAAGTAAACCTAATTAAATTTAGTTTTAATTATAATTATAATGTCTTTGATAACTCATTTTAGTTAACTAAAGGTTTTTTTTTTCTAGCTGAAATGTTGTTTACTTGATAAAAATAGTTGTTTTTACCTTTTTCATATTCAATTTTTTAAAAATCACTTTCATAATTAAAATCATATGAATAAAATAAAACCATTAAATTCTATTTTTTATAATATAAAATTATTAAAATAATAATATAAATTAAATCATTTTATCTTATTTTATTTAATAAAATATTTTTAAAAATGAAACTAAAAATTCTCAAAACTTAAATTTTAAACTAAAAGTTAATAACACCACTGTCGATATCTTACATTTATTAACTAATTTTATCTAGTATTTTTAATTCAATTAGTTAGCTTTTGAATCTTTATTTATTTAACTTTTATCTTTTCACTTGAGTAAATTTTTTAATGTTTAATCTGAACTAATTCATTTGTTAGTTTTACCACCACACCCTTAAATGATAAAGAAATAAATTGCAAACTTTCTTAAACTCAATTCGCTTATCTTGTGTTTGGATAAAGTATTTTTAAATCAATACATTGAATTCATTTAGATAGTAAAAAAATTTAAAATATTACAGAATTTTACCTAAATAATTTTTACGTCAAATAATAAAAAATTTTAATAACTTATTTTTAGTTAATAAAATATTCTCTATTTTTAGTTAATAAAATTTAATATTCTCTATATTCTCTATTTTCTCATTTAGAAAGGAGTTCTCCCCAATAATTGGATTCTTTGTTGATGCTAGCCCTTCAGACATTTGAAATGAAAAATTCAAAGTGTTTTTAGAAGCATCAAATCATAGTTTTATCTTAAAAATTAAATTTATAAATTTATTTAAATTAATTTTATATTAAAAATTGAATTCAAAACGATGTAAAATATTAGATTTAAAATTGATTTCAACCAAGATTAAATTTAAATCAATTTTTAACCAAATTTAAATTAATTTTAAAAAATAAGATAAATTGATTTAAAATTCAGTCTATATAATTAGATTTCAAATAAATTTAGATTAATTTTATACTAATCCATACAAAGCGCTAATTATTGTTATTGATTCATTTTATCTAAAATTTTAAAATTCTATCCGAAACACAGCTAACTTTTGCAACAATATTTTACATAAAGAAAGAGAAAAACAAAAGAGGTAAATTTACAATTATAATAATGATAGATGAATGTGATAAAAAGATAAATAAATTATGTGGTATAAAAATAAATTAAAAAATATGATAACTAAATGATAACCACAAACATAAACATAAAATGGAACAAAAAGTTGTAATGAGGACCAATAGAAACAAAATTTTAATTCACTCATGTTATAATTTTGGGTCATTCTATTTTAAAATAAAATTTTGTGGGTTTTTTCTTTTTTATAATTACATATATTTATTTTGTGATATACATATATCAAATTTTCATTTTAGTTAACGTGATTTTTGCAAATTTTCCAAAATAAAAGAAGGTTCCATAAAAGCGACGCCATGTAGTTCGTTGGTCAAGCAATATTAATTATTGAACAATGAAACTTGGTCAAAGACATGATTAGCTAGCGTGAATGGCCCATGTGGGCATGTCGTGTAAGTAGGGACAACGTTCGCTAAGGACTTGGCCAGAGGAAACGAAGAATGTCAGTTTTTTGTATAAGTGATGTTGTAGTATTCTCTAGTTATTCTCTTAACTTTTTATAAGAAATAGTAAATAAAAAGGTAGATATATTTAGAATCTTCAAATTTTATAATGTTAATTTTAGTCTCTAAAATTAATTCTACATAATTATTAATAATATTTTATTAAAATTAATAAAATTTTTATAAAATATTTTAAATTATTCTTTTACAAATAACGATAGTAACCCAACTTATAATACATGTCACATATCGTTTGCAAGCTGATATGTTAAACAATTTTTTTATTACATGATTAAAAAACATAATAAAAATTTGTATATAATAAGTTATTATTAAAAATTATAGTAAATAATGTATTAATAATATAATTTATAACAAAAAAATATTATTTATTAGTTTTTTATTATGTGTAGAAAGATACACATTAAAAAAAAGGATTCAACTAAAAAAGTAAAAGTAAAACATTTTATTGAAGTTTGTAAAATTATATTCCTTCCATGATTTTTATCAAGAAAAGCAGTATTTATCAATTTTAATTATATTCTTAAAATACTAGTTAACAAAACTCAGTTTCGTAATACTTTATTATAATTTTTCTGCATAAGATTTATTTTATCTTATTTTTTCATCTCTTTCATTATCATAAAAAATATTAAAGGTGAAAGACATTGCTCTATTTTTTTAAGAAAATAAAAGTGGAATTTAAATTAAATAAATTAAAAGAGGGGAAATATAATGAATGTAATTAGTTTTGTCCAAAAGAAATGACGCCGTGGGCAAAAGCATTATCCCCTTAGCGGTCTATCACCGTTGCCATAGGTAGTAGAGGTAATTCCCCTCTGAATAGGACACACGAGATGACGCAGTGGCGGCTATTCTTCATTCTTCCATAAATCTTTGAGCGATGACTCAACCATTCTCGAATTTCGACCCTGAGTCCTCTCTCACGCTTCACTACTCCATCACTTAAATGATGTGACCGCTCTGTGATAGACAAATTATCGGATACTATAAATTAATTAGCTAATGCATATCAAACAACTACATTATAACTTTTGACCCCAGTGTATTGGTCCTCTTTATTATGTCACTACTTACATGATATAGAATCCGCCGACGGTCAAGACAAAAATCCACGTTTGAATTTCTTCTATTGAGATTCATTCATTCATTCATTCACCAGCTGCCTCACCATTAAGTCGCTGGTCTTTATTGAAATTCTATACAACACGCGTTAATCGTTGCCCACAATTTATCTCTCTATAAATGTAACACCCAAGTGAGAAGTTTCTTGTTCATAAGTCCTAACTATTACCTTACTAGCCTGTGATCAGTTATATCACTACATTCTTTTTATCATAACTAGAACAGAAAAGCAAAAGCAAGCTTATAGGACGCACCATGGAAGCTTATTCCAGCTCTTATTCGTCATCCAACTCTTCATACTTAACCCAAAACCCTGAGAAATCAAAGGGAATGAAACATGTGTACCCTTTTCAATCCCACAATTCGTTGCTCCATTCCGTGAGGAAGTCACCGGCCAAAACTTGCAAAAAAGCGCCAGTGGCACCAATGCCTCCAACACCAATCAAAGTATACAAAGTGGACGCTATGAACTTCCGTGACCTTGTTCAGCAGCTTACAAGTGCACCAGAGCACAAGCCACAGCCACAGCCACGTCAGCATCAGCTTAGTCAAAGCAACAGCGCACGTGCTGCTACTTCCCTTGATGTTGTTTCTAGGTCTCCTATGCAAAATGAATCACGTGGAGACACTGCAGCACCGGTTTGTACTAAATGGTACCATGATTATTTCCAATCTGAAACCTTTGGAACAAAATTTCAGGGGAATAATGATGGGACAATGGCATCGGGTTTGCTGGAAATGAACTTGTCTTCTTCGCCATCTTCTTATAGTAATTGGTGCTCCTTTCCTCCTATGAGCCCCAACACTGTCACCAGTTTGGAAGCGGGCAAGGTTCTCTAGGCTTTTATACGCTGGATTATTTAATTTAAATATGTTACTACTCCATTAGGTGTAGGGTACTTTGTGGACTTCTGCAGCTACTTTGTACCCCATTCTATATGCTATTGATTAATGAATAATTCTATTTTTTATACATTTTATGCTTATAATTTTTCTTACTTATTAAATATTTATGTATATTTTTAAGAAAATAAGTATGTGTATAATATAATATAAGAAAGTGACTTTATTAACATATTCTTCTGTCACATTATATGCTTTTCTACTGTTGTTATTGTCATTACATTTATAATTTAGAGTATTATTATCGTTCAACTTTTTTTTTTTCGAGAGTCATCTACTGCCAAGAAAACTATCCCTTTAATAATATAAACTAGTCCAACCACTTTGATTATTCATATTTTGTCTTTTGCAAAATGTTTGCCTTATATTTAAATGCAATAGACGTACTTAGTCGCAATATTTACTCCTTCCAAGCACAGACAGTCATTATATTGTTCTAATATTCCTTATTCAATGACGTGTTTATGGTTAGGCTAAAAGTTATTGTGTGCATGTTTGGTTTAAAGTTTATAAACAGTGATTTGAATCAACTTAATTTTGCAATATGATTTCAATGAATGAGTTTGTAATCATCTTTTTACATATTCCTGAAATATATAATTCATGGTTTAACATACCACCTCTTATCTTGCATGGATACGAGCATGGTATCGATACTGAATACGGATACAGTATAAGATATGATATTTAAAAAAAAATAAAAAAATTACGGATACGTTGATTTAAAAAAATAAAAATTATATATAAAATAAAAGAAAAAAAAATAGCATATATGATATAACATAAAAGAGATAGAAAGTAAAGATGGAGTTGACATGGAGAGTAAATATGGAGCATAGTTGGAGCTAAGATGAAAGTAAAGATGGAGGTCGTTGCCGCTGTTTATCTCAGTCGCTAATGATGATTGAAGTTTAAGACGGGAGAAAGAGAAAAATGGGTGTACGAAGGCTAGAGGTTGGAGGAAGCGCAGATATGTGAAGGATGGAGGGGAGAAAAAGAATCAGTAAGATTTTTGGAAAAAAAAAAAAAAAACTAAAACCTAAAATTTTGTTCCATCTCTAATTATTCACGTGTGATCTATTCAAAATTATTTTTGTTTCTCTTTTGCATTGAGTTGAGAGGAAGAGGAGTTATTCACATTCCTTATTTTTATAATCCATGAAGTAAAATTGATTTTGTTGCAATTCTCTCTGTAGAATCCATCAACTAAGAGGATTTTTTTCACTTGTAAAGAGAATTATTTTTCTTTAATTATTTTACTTTTGTTTTCCTCATCTTTAGTCATGTTCTTGTTTAGATATGATTACATGAATGAACCATCAACTTTGATACTGCCATTAAAGAGAAAGAGAGAAATCATATGCATTGTTTATTCCTGGAAGTACCCACGTAAAAAGAACAAGAAACACAACAACAAAAAACTTGATTAGTCACTGAATTTAGCGACCAAAATAAATCCGTAGCAAATAGTGACTAATGTAGCTATCGAAACTAATCCATTGCAAATAGCAACTGAATTTAAAAATCGAAACTAATCTGTCAGATGCCAAATGAAAATTGAATGGCTTCAAATCTTTATCATGCTAAGAAATTAGTTGCAAATTTGGGATTGGGTTGTATAAAGATTGATTGTTGTCAAGATGAATGCATGTTGTTTTCTAATGCTGATGAAGATGATAGTGTTACAACTTGCAAATATTGTCACAATGATCGATATAAAATAACTAGTAGAAGAGGTATTAAAAAAAAGTCCCTATTAAAAGAATGTGATACTTTCCAATAACTCCAAGACTTCAAAGATTGTACTCATCAATAGCTACTGCATCACACATGAGATGGCACCGTGAGAATCACAGAGATCCTGGTGTGTTGTGTCATCCAGTAGATGGAGAAGCTTGGAAGCATTTTGATATCAAGTATCCTGAATTTGCTAAAGATCCTCGAAATGTTAGATTGGGACTATGTGCAGATGAGTTTAATCCTTTGGGACAATATGGTAAAGCTTACTCATGTTAGCCAATCATTCTAACACCATGTAATCTTCCACATGAAATGTGCATGAAAAGAGAGTTTATGTTTCTTACAATCCTTATTCCTGGTCCAACAAATTCCAAAAGCAAGATTGATGTATACATGCAACCTCTCATAGAAGAATTGACAAGTTTGTGGAATAATGGCATCCTAACCTATGATATATCATTAAGGCAAAATTTTAACATGAAAGCAGCTTTAATATGAACAATTAATGACTTTCCAGTTTATGGTATGTTGTTAGGTTGGTCAACTGTAGGTAGACTTGCTTGCCCAATATGTATGGAACATACAAAGGCAAGTCATTTAAATCATAGCTACAAAAACACATTCTTTGATTGTCACCGTCAATTTCTTCCAAATGATCATCCATATAGGAGGAATAAAAATACTTTCAAGAGACGTTAAGATGTCTTCTCCCCCTCCTCGTTTGTGTGGAGAAGATATTTGGAAGAGAATTTCACACTTGCCATTCATATGGGAGTCTCAAGGGAGGAAGTTCCCTAAGTTTGGTAAACATCATAATTAAACTAAAAAAAGTATATTTTGAAAGTTGCCTTATTGGAAAATGCATATTCTTCATCATAACATTGATGTCATGCATACTAAGAAAAATGTGTTTATGAATGTGTTTGACACTGTTATAGATATTAAGGGTAAGACAAAAGATACAGTCAATGGAAGATTAGATTTAGCAAAATTATGCAAAAGGAAGGGTCTTGAATTAAAAGATGTTGGAGTGGCAAATTTATTAAACCAAAAGCTAAATATGTTTTAACCAAGTTAGAAAGAATAAGTGTATGTCAGTGGATTAAATAACTTAATTTTTTAGATGGTTATGCATCAAATTAGGTAGATGTGTTGATATTAAAGAAGCAAAGTTGCATAGAATGAAAAGTCACGATTGTCATGTATTCATGTGTTGATTACTTCCCATTGCATTTGATAGTTTACCAAACACTATTTAGAAACCACTTGTGGAACTTAGCCAATTTTTTAGAGAATTGACTTGCACTACATTGCACATAGACAAGTTGATAGATATGGAAAGTGTTATCCCTGTGTTATTGTGTAAGTTGGAACAAAAATTTTCGTCAACTTTTTTTTATTCGATGGAACATCTTCCAATTCACTTGCCTTATGAAGCACGAGTTGGTGGTCCAATTCAATATCGTTGGATGTATCCATTTGAGAGGTATAAATTTTTAAAATATCTTAATATAAAGATATTTTTGTTTATCTTTATTACTAAATGTTTTAATAAATTACAATGCATGAAATTTAGGTTCTTGTGATCTTTGAAAGAAAAAGTGAAGAACAAGTCCAGGATAGATAGCTCCATTTGTGAAGCCTATTTAGTAGAAGAAACATGTACTTTTGCTTCATTTTACTATCCATCAAGCATAGATTCAAGAAGGACTATAATTCCACGTAATTTTGAAGGCGAAGGTTGTTCATCTAATCCTCCAATCTCTATTTTTAATTATCCAGGACATAGTTGTGGCAAATCTTATCAATATTACTTAGAAGAACGTGAGTTGAAAATTGATCATCTATATGTTCTACAAAATTATGAAAAAGTAGAGTCATATTTATAATAAGTTGATCAATGTCTTACTACATTCAATTAGATGACCTTCGCTATATATTTTTTATTTTTACTCCTAACACATTTTCTTTGATATTTGTAGTATTTATGTTAAACTCCTACGAGAGTTTCAACATAATATTTCAAACTCTTAAATTGATCAAGAAATTGCCTCTCATTTTCCTAGTTGGTTCAAAGGTTATGTACGTCTTTTTTTTTTTTTCAAAATAATATTCAAGTAATGTTATACTTAAAATTTTTTATTATGTTTAATTTTACATTTGATAAATAGGTTCAAAATCCACAAAATCAAATTAAAGAACCACTATTAATTTCGTTGGCATGGGGACCATTAAGAAGGGTTGAGTCTTGGCCTATTTACATCATAAATGGGTATAAATTTCACACAAAGGCATGGAATGAAGGCATAAAAATTTCTAATTATGGTATCTGCATACAAGGAACATGCGGTACATTAGAAGATGACTTTTATGGAATAATTAATATTTTTGAATTGGAGTATACTAGCATGCCCATTAAAAAATAGTACTTTTTAAGTGAGTGGTTTGATAATACTTCATATCAAGGGACAAAAGTAAATAAACAATATGGAATTGTTCAACTTAAGCAATCACAAAGATATAAGGTGTATGACCCATTCATCCTTGCACAACAAGCAGAACAAGTTTATTACACACCATATCTAGAAGGACATCGTGATTAGGTAGTTGTCATAAAGACTAAGGCACGCAATGCAATAAATAATAACTTGTTTGATAAAGTTGACATTGAAACTCCATATAAAGAAGTGCATGTTGTTGATGACCTTCATGGAATGTTGCAAATTGATTATGATATTTATGATGATAGTCTTGCTGATCTTAGTGGTGAAGGGGACGAAGTTGATGTTGCATCATTATTTAATCAACAAAATTCAGATGAACAGAATGATGATACATCCTCCTCAACTGAATGTGATAGTGAAACTTATAGTAAAAGTGACATTAATACCAACTTAAGTGATTTACTGTCACCTTAGTTAATTATTTATTATATTATATGTCATCTTTATAATGTGCATAAAATTTACCTATGCTTTTTTTTTTCAAGGAAACAGATGGCAGACAATAATAGTAGAGGTACAAGTCGAAGTCAATTTCGAAGTCGTGCTAGAGGTTATGTTCAAACATCTTTTCCACAAAACATATGTAATACACCTGGCTCGGCAGCATCACATACAGATGTTGAATCAGTTCCATTTATTCCTCAAAATTTGGGGGGCACGACTACTCCTACCAGCACACAGCCTCTTTCAAGA